AAAGAAAGAAAGAAAGAAAGAAAGAAAGAAAGAAAGAAAGAAAGAAAGAAAGAAAGAAAGAAAGAAAGAAAGAAAGAAAGAAAGAAAGAAAGAAAGAAAGAAAGAAAGAAAGAAAGAAAGAAAGAGAAATTAAAACCAGCAAAAAAAATTTGCAATCCCATTTTTTCAGGGGGTTTGGAGCAGGTGACACCACACAACCCAAAGCACAGCAGGATGGGCCCAATGTGTTGCTCCCAGCTGAGCGTGCCTGGAACTGGAAGGCTGTGCCTGCTGGTCACAACTCAGCTGCCTTCACCTGCTCCAGCGCCAAGCCAGGCAGTGACTCAGTGTGTGATGCAGGCAGGAACCTGGTGATTGCAGAGCCTCCCTGGGGCACAGGCACCCCTTATCTGTGTGTGTGCATTACCCTCCTCTGCTCCTCCTCGGCATCAGCAAACAGCTTGCGGATGTTGGCCTCCGACTCGCCCACGTATTTGTTGAGGATCTCGGGCCCGTTGACCACCTTTGGCTCCCTGGCATTCAGCATCTTCCCAATCTGCCTGGCCATCAGGGTCTTGCCACAGCCTGGGGGCCCGTACAGGAGGATGCCCTTCACGTGCTTGCAGCCTGGAACGCAGAGAGAGCAGGGTTGGGAAGGAGGAGGAGGAGGACAGGACAGCCACAGAGCGCTGAGGGGATCACCCTCACAGGGAGGGGCCTGAGCCCTGCTCAGTGCCCTCCTCACTGAAATCCAAACACAGGCTGGTCAGAGTCCTTCCAATGATGTGCCAGGGAAAACAGCCCCTGAAAATCATCCCTAAGAAACAATCCCAAAGAACAATCCCTATGAAACAATCTCAAAAAACAATCCCTATGAAACAATCCCAAAGAACAATCCCTATGAAACAATCCCAAAATACAATCCCTATGAAACAATCCCAAGTGCTCTCCCTGCATCAGCCACACACAAGGACTGACACCCGAGCTGCAGCTGCTGGTGATAACCCACAGCACCAGGGATCACCTGGGAAACACGGGAATGACACAGCTCTCCCCCAGGGATGCTGCTCATCCCCAGGCAGGGAGGGGCTGCACATCCTCCTTTTCACACCCCCACGTGCCCTGAGCACCAAGCAAAGCAGACACAGCCCAGACACACCGAGCTGATTCCTGAAGGAGAACACCAGGATATTGTGGGGTAACACCCTCATCTTTACCCCTGCACTGGGCTTTAAGGAGTCCCACATCACACAGCCACTTCTGGCTGCAAGTTCAGAGGGCAAAAATTGAAAAAAACTGAAAATCACTTCCAAGAACCATCAGCCCAAAATCCTTGACCTGTAAATAGAAGGACCTGAAAGACTCCAATTTATTCCAGTAACAGGACTCAGGGAAGTACAGAGGCTCAGTTTCATGGCAGAGGGATCCAACTGCAAAACCAGGGAAGGAAAACAGAAGTTCCCTGGAGAAGAGGAAGGAGCTCTCTACTGCCCAACTTAAAAGACATGTACAAGGGACTGGGGAGTTTGGACACTGCCTGGTCACAGAGTGGTGAGGAAACATTAGAGAAACCTAGAACTCATTTTGCCAAGACCCAGCAGAGCTCCTCTTTCTGTTTTCCAGCTGATATTGAGGACCAGTGAGTAAAAACAAAAATAAACTTATTTTCAACATTAGGACCCAGCAGGTATTTCAGCATTTCAATTTATTTCTTCCTACACAGTTTCAAGCACAATAAAAGTACCAGTTCCTCACTTTGCCCGTGGATGAGGCAGATGGGGAGATACAAAGCACTCAGGAAGTGCTTTCCTTGGTTTGGGCCTCCCTGACCCCTCCCAGCACCATCTCCTGCCCTTCTCCAGAGTAACAACTGCCACTGTCACCTCACTGGCCAGCCCAGCAAGGACATCCCAAGGCAGCTGTCCCTGCTGTAGCCTCTGGGAAAACAGCACACTTGGACTCTGCCTCGAGAAAAATCTTAACTTTGAGCACAAGTGTTCAGTCACGGGGGGGGGAATTCAGCAGCACCTTCTCCTTTCTCTTGCTCCATCCCCCCTGCTGCACAAAATCCCTCCCACGTGCCCCAGAGAAGTGAGGAACACGAGATATCCCTGTAGATAAAAATCCCTTTGTTCTGTTTCCAGACAATTTACCTGAAACCTCAGAAATCTCGATGTATTGATTGTCTGAAGGAACAAGGAACACAGTGATTAGTGGGAACTGTTCCATGCTGAAGGTGACAGACACGCTGGCCTTAGTGTTGTGCCAGGGATGTTGTTCAGGTTGGATATTAGGAAAAATTCATTCACAGAGAGGGTGGTCAGACACTGGAACAGGCTGTGGTGGAGTCCCCACCCCTGGAAGTGATCAAAAGGTGTGTGGATGTGGCACTTGGGGACACGGTTTAGAGGTAAAAACAATGCTTGGACTCAACCTTAGAAGTCTTTTCCAACCGTAATGAACCTATGAAAATGCATTTATTTATACTCCAGTCTTGCAGTTAGACTTCAAGGATGCAAACTATCCAACAGGAGCCCTGCAGTGCTTCAGATGCACATTAAAAACCAAAAAAGCAGCAAACTGATGGCACTGAGCTCAGACTAAGAGGGGCTGAGCTCAGTTCATTGCACCAGCAGAAGCTGAGGGAGCTTGGGCAGTGGGGTGTCTGTCACCCACACACAGTGACCCCCCTGTCACCCACACACAGTGACCTCCCTCCTGCTTCCTGCCAGAGTCCTGGGGGCTGCACAGACCCCAGAGCCACGTTCTGCCTCTAGAGGACACACAGTGACCTCACTGATTCTCTGCTGTGGTTTCACCTGCTCCTGGATATTACAGCCATAAAGAACTGGTTTCCATCTGATTTCCCCTGATTTCCTGCTCTCTCTCTCTCTCTCTGGCTGTTCACTCACTGCAGTGAAGTTCCAGGAGGACACTGCCACGAGCAGAGCCTGATCCCTCCACACCCTGCAGAGCAGCAGTGCCGTGCACTGAACGAGCAGCAACAAAGCTGATCATTCTGGCCTTGTCTGCAGATAAAAAAATCTACTGCAGAAATCCAGAGCTCTGGCTCAGAATTCACGAGCCAGAGTGGTGGCATCAAAAACATTCACAATACCTACTGTCAGTGCAGCCAAATCTCACAGAGGGGTGAGTGAGACACAGGTAAATTCACAGCTCTCCCTGTCAACCTGAGCTGGGAGGGACCCCCAAGGACCATCCAGTCCAATCCCTGGCCCTGCACAGACACCCCAACAATCCCCCCCTGTCCCTCAGAGCGTTGTCCAAACCCTCCTGCAGCTCTGGCAGCCTTGGGGCTGTGCCCACTGCCCTGGGGAGCCTGTTCAGTGCCAACCACCCTCTGGGGGAAGAACCTTTCCCTGAGACCCAACCTGACACAGCTCCAGATGATCCCTCAGGCCCTGGGATTTTCCCAGCAGAACTCCCAGCTCAGGGCCCAGCAGGCTCCCTGAGACACCTGGAATTCCCAAGCTTTACCTGGACACGCTCAGCCAGTGCTGGACAACCCCCTGCTCATCCTTGAACAACACCCACACCTGCACCCTGAGGACAGCCCTGGCCACCTGCTGCGAGACTGGGTTGCCACTGAATGGGCAACATTGAGAGCAGGGGCTGAGTCAGGTGGCAGAACATTCCTGAACCCAAAGCAATTAGTTCCTCTTCAAACACAACTGCCACAAGCGACTCCAGCAGAGACTCCCCTGGACAGCCACGTTCACCTGGCTAAAATCAAAGTTTTAAGCACAAGCAGGACTTTATTAAAATAGACAGGTGATGACAAACCACAAATGTTACCTCTGAAATCACAGTGGGATCCTCTGCACCACACAGGAATTTTGATTAAGTTTATCTCCCCTCTGCTGATTTCACCAATGCAGCCCAAATGTCAATACTATTATGAGGATCTTTCTAAACACAAATTATTAGCAGTGCAGACATCCTCATCTCATTCAGCTCACTATTAGGGCTCCAAATCAAAGGTCACTCCTGTAACCTGAGCCTTAATTATGCCATTTAATGACATACAGTTCAGGCTGAAGAGGGATGTTAGGAGGAACTCAAATACACCAATGTGGGAAGCAAAATATCAGGGAAAAATCATAAAAACTGGTGAGAATGGGAGAGTAACTGGTGTCACCAGGGGAAGTCAAACTCTGTGTCAACCCAGAATGTCACCTGCCCAAAGACAAGATAAGGTTCATTTGTTCAATTCTCCCTCTTCACTTTTTTTTTGTAGAGATCAGAAGAACTGGTTGACTGCAGCAGGGATTTTCTACTTGGGAGTGTAATTCCCCTTTTCATGAAAATCAAAGCATTCTGGTGCGATTGGATCACTGGGATGCACCCTGGAAGGATCCCCAGCACAGCAGGGAGATCTTTATCTCTGCACATCAATCTTCAGGCGGGTTCCCAGACCCCACCTGCCACACAGGCAAAATTTCCCCACAAACAGAGCCGGGTGGGATTTTCCCTTCCCCTCATCCCCTCATCCCCGAGTCACTCCAGCCTCCTGTCTGTCTCCCCAGAGGACTGAGGTGCTGCCCCCACGGAGCAGGACTGAGGGAGCTGGAATTCCAAGCTGGGGCAGGGAAAGGGGCACCAGCTGAACCACAGGTTTTATTTTCAGCAGGCCCTCAGTGGGCAGGGCTTTGGTCTATCAAATCCTCTGCCTCTGTAAAGAGAAGAGTCAGTGAGTCCTCCCTGGATTTTAGAAACGGCTTCCTCACTGCGTCCCGTGGGCTGTGAGGATTCCAGGGGTCCACCCACCAGCCCCCAGCTGCAACACAGCCCTCAGCTCAGCCTCACTGCAACCCCCCAGGGCACTCAGGAGGAAGAGGAGTTCTCAGCAAGGAAGAAGAGTTAACAACAGCAACTGCTCAGTTCAGGCTGTTAAATAATTTCTAACACCAAGGGAGACTCGATGTGTTCAGTGACAAAGGGGCAGGAACGGGAAAGAGGAGCAGGAAAAGAACAGGAGACACATGAGGCCACGACTGCTGGATGTTTGCAGATCACCTGGACATGGACTTCACCCAGGGGCACTCAGAGCAGGGGAAATCATCTCAGAGTCACTGAGAACCTGGGCAGGGTGGGTGAGAAAGGGGGGGGAAGAAGGTGAATGTCACCCACCATGTTATAAAGGCAAAGGGGTTGGGCTGAACTGAGAGATCCCTTCCAATCTCAGCTGTTTTCCATGGTGTGCTACAGACCTGGCACTCACCTGATCCCTGGAAAATTCTGGCACATCATCTTTCTATGCAGGTAGGGAAAAACCCAAAGATACAAGAAATAGCCAAAAAAGAATTCATTAGAGCAGCCTGAGACAAGTCCCCTCCAGGAAAAGGTGGGGGGCCCACACAGAGGAAACAAAGGAAGCAACAGGGGGAGGTTTAGACTCTCCTGAAGATATAAATAGGTTTTACACATCCCCCCAGACATGCAGGAAGAGCACAGGCTGAATGAAGTTAGAGGTAGATGAGAAGTGGATAAAAACCCCCAGACTTTAAAGCACAGTGAGAAATGCTCCATCCTGAATTCAGTGGCATGTGGTGCCGGGAGGATGGAACAGGACAGAGCGCTCCAATTAAATCTGTCCCTCGCACAGCCAAGAGCTACAAACACACTGACAGGTAGGATTAAACCCATCGAAAATCTGTGTAACTTGATGCACAAGTTTCTAAATCAGGGAGGAATAATGAAGTGCATGTTGCAAAACAAAAAAAAAAAAAATCATCAGAGTGGGGGATTAGAACCAGGCCCAGACACTGAGGCACAGCCAAAACCTGCCAACTGATGGAGATTTTTCATTCAAATCACCCTATTTTCAGAACAGCTGGATGAGATCCTTTCCATCATTATCCTTCTCTTCCAGTATCCGAGTATTCTGAGAACATTAATGTATTAATTTTTAAGGCAGCTTAAAGGACAAGCCTCCACTTCAAGGCAGAATCCAAGGCAGAAAATAATATCTGAGTATCTGCTCATTTCAGTGTTCCCCTCGTGTGTTCTGCTGATACTTATAGGAGGTGAGATGTCCTTCAGAACTACTGAGCTCTGAGACCCACTGGCCCCATGAGGGCAGGTTGAGATGGTTCCCAGGAAACAGAAACCACCTTGAAAGAGTCTGATTGAGCCTGTTTGGGGTAACAGGAGAGGGTGGGGAATTGGGGTTCCATTCAGTCCCTTAGAAGGAACGGGAGCTTGTGACACCAAATGTTTCTGTGCCTGCTGTTAAATGATAACAAAAACATGGCTAAAGGTCTGTTGGAGTCAGGGGAAAAAAAAAAACTAAATAAAAAAGAGAGAACACTGTTCTAGCAAGCATTAAACAATCACCTTAATGGCACAAGCCACTGAATAAGCTGGATTTAAAATCTCAGCAGAAAAAAACCAGCATTTCCCCTGGATGGGAAGAAAGGCCTGATCTGCAGGGACACTCTGGAAAAACACAACACTTACCAAGGAAAAGGAGGAGCTTCAGCTGGAGCAAGAGGATGCTCTGAACTGCAGCCAAGAGCAACCAAGGCCAGACTCCCTTCACACACAGCTCTGCTATGAGCTGGATGGCACAGGCATCCCAAAAGGGCTTGAAAAGGAGGAGGAACCCCTGGAAAAGGGCACTGTAGGGCTCCCTCAGGGAGAATGTGACTGCCAGGGCTGAAGGTCCTTCCTCAGAAGTGCCACTGGGAACCAGTGAGGACCTCATGGCACCTTTTGCTTCCTGAGACCTCCCTCAGGCCTCATCCAGACAGGGATTTAATTCCAGCTGGCAGGCACAAGATTATCAGGAGTCAAGCATCAGTCACTCCTCCCTGGGAGGATGGGGACAAGTTGCAGGTTGCCCAGAGAAGCTGTGGCTGCCCCTGGAAGTGTCCAAGGCCAGGTTGGACGGGACTTGGAGCAACCTGGGCTAGTGGGAGGTGTCCCTGCCCATGGCAGGGGTGGCACTGGATGAGCTTTGAGGTCCCTTCCAACTCAAACCACTCTGGGGTTCTGTCACATCACACCAACCAGGGAGCTGATCCAGCTGAATACAACCCTATAAACTGCTTTTATGAACAGTATCTTTTAATTCCAACTGTATTAGCTCCCTCCAGAGCCCTGCAAGCCCAAAGCCACCACAGAGATCCAGGTATGGGAAAAGCAAAGTGCCCCTTGCAGGTGAGCAGGGACAGGGTTAGTGACCAGCTGGAGCTGAGCTGACATTTCTTCTCTGGGATAAACCAAAGCTTGTGCCATCAGAGCAGCATTTCCCCTCCTGGATGATGGCATGGTTAACTAACACTGATTTATGTGCTCCAAACCCAGAACATTCCTTGGAAGTTGGATCAACCACACACAAACTGCAAGTAACGCTGGAAGGGTCTATAGAGCCTCTGTGTATTTTGGGACAGAAATATTTATGGTGTTTGGCATGGAAGGTGGGCAAAGAACAGGACTGGGTGAGCACTGGAGCACCAGGGAGCAAGCAAATTCCTCCTTCTCCCTCCCAATAAATTATTCACAGAGGTGAACAGCTGTCACACCGACATCTCAGATCTGAAATATAGTTAAGAGCAAGTTGTAACTAAGGCAAAGAAAATGAATGTCAGAAAGTTGTGTTTTTTTCCAATTTCAGATAAGCTCTTTAGCCCTGGGGTTACTCCCAGCTCTGCTCCCAGTCCAACTTCTCACCTGACAAGGTCTCTGTGTGCAGCCTGGGTGTAAACATGCACAGAGAGGGGTTTGTGTTCAGAGAGGGAACGTGGCACACCTTGAATTCATCGCCCAGGGGAATCCAGATACTACTGGGCCTTCAGAGAATCTCTGTCTTCCTGTATTAAGCAACATCAATTAGAAGAGGAACCCTCTGGGCAGCTCCAGGGCCTCACCCTGCAGCCAGCAGGGATTCCCAACTTCTCCAGAGGTCCCTGCTGGAGCTGTAGGTCCTCCACAGGTTCCAGGGCCCAGCTGGCAGGTGAATCCAGCTCGTGGATGTGCCCAGGGAGTGCAGTGGCATGTGACACAGCAGGCTGGCAGCTTGCCCACACACAGCCAGGGGAAGCTGCAGCAGCAGGGAAAAGAGCTCTGATTGTCTTGAGTGTACAAACACACTCCTGGCACTGCAGTGGCACTGCTGAGAACCCCCAGAGCCTAAAACTTTTCCCTTCACATGTGCTCACATCTTAGGGCTTTGTACTGCAGCCACAAAGTCAGAGAATCACAGGATGGTTTGGGTTGGAAAAGCCCATTCAGTGCCACCCCTGCCATGGGCAGGGACACCTTCCACCAGCCCAGGCTGCTCCAACCTGGCCTTGGACACTCCCAGGGATCCAGGGGCAGCCACAGCTTCTCTGGGCAACCTGTGCCAGGGCCTGCCCACCCTCCCAGGGAAGGATTCGTTCCCAATGTCTAACCTAAACCTCTCCTCTTTCAGTTTTAAATCATTCTCTCTTGTCCTATCACTGTCTACCCAGGTAGAAAGTCGCTCTCCCTCTGTTTTATAAGCCCCCTTTAGGCCCTGGAAGGGGCTCTAAGGTCTCCCTGGAGCCTCCTCTTCTCCAGGCTGAACAGCCCCAGCTCTCCCAGTCTGGCTCCATGGGAAAACTTCACAAACACACACAACAGTTGCCTCCAAAGGTCAAACCTTTCAGGCACAGGAGGCTGCTGGAGGCAGCAGTGCTGAGTGGCCATCAGCATCTCTGGGTGAGAGCTCCTCTTTCCACAGCCAACACCATTTCTCCCATCTCCTCTCTCTGCAGAGCAGTTAAATATTTAACAAATCCAAGCATTTGATGCAGAAGCAGAGCAGTGATGTCTTGTTCAGAGCCACAAAACCCAGGAGACCCGAGAGATCCCCCCGAAGGCCTCGGCTCTCAGACCAACAGCCAGTAAAAGGCAGGAGGGAGAGAATCAGGCACTAATTGGATGCAGCCCCTGAGCTTCTCCAGTGTTCTTCCACAGGTTTCCCAGTCACCCAGAGGAGACTGAAGGCACCTCCCAGGGAAGTTTACTTTGCATCAGTTCCACAGGCCCTGGAAGCGCCCCCGCCCTGCCAGGACGGATCTCCTGCTGCAAATCTGGTTTGTAATCAAAATCCTCTGCTTGGGGGGGGGAAGGGAAGGCAGCCCAGAAACATAAACATACACAGAAATTATACAGCCACGGATTCCAAGCCCAAATACAAACCCACAGAGATTATATTCCGAGAACAAGGAGCAGCCAGAACATCCCCAGCCACGTTCTGTGACAGAACCAGACACCTGCAGCTGCACACTGCTGACTAAAAACTAAACCCAGCACCACTTATCTGCCTGCCAGCACATGTTTACCAAGTGCTGGGGGGATGCCTTTCCTTCCCCTGGCCCAAAAACAAGGGGTTATATTTAGAATGGGTGCTTTCATTTCCCCAGCTCCAGGATGTGCCACGGCCTGCGTGTCCCCTCCGGCACCGCAACCCTGACCGGGCAGAGCCCACGCCCGGGGCTAAGGATGGGAGCAGGATGGGATGGAATAGGGAACAGGGATTGTGCAGCATTCAAACAGCCTTTCCTCTGACCTCTCTGCACAGCCCATGGCAGTCTGGAAGAGGAGCAGTCAGTCCCAATGGATGAATGAAGCATGCAAAGAACAGGGACTGTTTCACTGAGGCACGGAATGGTTGGGGTTGGATGGGACCTCAAAGCCCATCTCATTCCAGCCCTCCCACCAGGCCAGGCTGCTCCAGTTCCAGTTCCACCAGAACAGTGTCCAGTTAAACCACGTCTCTCATCCCTCCAGACATTCCAGGTGCAGGGTTGAGCACACGCTGGTTTTGTTGCCCTTCCCTAACCAAGTAACCAAACGCATTTGGAAGGAACAGGGGCAGAAGAGATCTGTCAGAACCCTAAGAAACTGCTGTGTTACAGCACCACAAGGCTGCCCAGTCCTTGCAGACCCCGTGCCCCAGCCACACTTCCCTGGATTACTCACCCATTTGCTCCACAATTTCCGGTGGGAAAACTCGAGAAGCAAAAGCTCGTCGGAAAATATCGGAGAATTCTTTGTCCAGGCCCCCAATGCCCATCTTCTCAAAATTCCAGTCGGGGTTGATGATCGACTGGCGGTTCTCCTTGGTCTTGGATTTACCTGCAAAACCCAAGGAGTCATTGCCAGCACTGAGGATTCAGCAGACAAAGGTGCAGAACCAGCAGAGCTCTGCAGCTCAGCCCCATGTCCTGGGAACCCCAGGTGTGCTCTCAGGGGGACACCCCGGGCCAAGGACACCAGGGCAGGACACCAGAGACCTGGTTGACCTGGTAAACCATTTTCCCAGCCTTCCAACCCCTCACAGGGATTTCTCCAGCCGGGTGTTGCTCCTGTGTATAAAAAATCCCCAGTGGATTTCTCAGCACCCTGAGTGCCCTCAGCCCCCAGCTCTCGTGGCTGCTGCCACTCCCAGTGTCCCCTCTTTTCCAGGCCAGTTGGGATGACAATATGTTTGTCCTGTATCCTCCTCAATGCCTTTTCCAGCCTTCACCTGCTCTCCCTTCCTTCCCCAGCAGCAGCTCCTCACTGGAGCCCCCTTGCTGCTCTCAGTTTTCCCTGTTCTCACCACATCCCCTGGCAGAGAGACCTGCAGGTTGTACCTTAAATACAGGTACAAAATTATGCTCCACTTTGTGCATACTCCTTTATCAATAATCTGCAATAATTCTTAACAAACACAGTAACTCTGAACAGTGCTCAGGCTGCACGAGCATGGGTCCAGCATTCCCTTCAAACTGTCCTCCCTGGGATCTTGTCCCACCACAGCCACCAGTTTTACCCAACTTTTCCTCCCCCATGTCACCTGATGTTTATTTATGCTGAATTTCCTCTGCCATTTTCTGCCTCAGTCACCAGGCTCAGTCAGAGCCAGCTTGGGCACCTCATTGCTCAGGCTTTTCCCCAGTTTATTCAGGAATTCCAGTGGGGAGCAAAGGCCCAGCAGAGATTCCCACTGAACTCCACCAGCCTGGGCTATTTTCTCCTTTCCTTTCCCCACCCACTGACCCGTGCCAGGACCTTCTCTCTCACAGATCTCTGGTTTGATTCTGTTTTAGGAATTTTAATAAATTGCTGGAGGATCTGGGACAAACCAGCAGCCCTTGTGCCAGGGCTGCCTGATGAACTGGAATGAGCTCCAGGGGGGTCAGGAGGCAGGACTGCCCTGACCCCAGCCAGTGTAACACCTTTATAAAGGTATCCTCTAATTTAGTGGTTTATCACAGTTTCTCTTGGTCTCTCCTGTACAGATTTAAGGCCCAAAGATGTGCAGCTCTGCAGAGCTTCTCCAGGATCCTTTGGGAAGGCACAGCACATGGAAGTATCCCCAGACAGCAGAGCAATTTGCAGCAAGGTCACACCAAACAATCACAAGGTCACAGCTCCTTTACAGCTCAGGAGAGCCAAGGCTGGCCCTGGCAAATCACCACAGTTGTGTCTGTTCCACAGCCTCTTCCAGAGGGACTCCAAGTGCAGCCAGACGCCCAAGCACAGCTCTGCAGTCTCTTTAACCACCTCCTCTCCCTTCTGCTGACAGGCCACTCACATTCCAGCCCTCCTGAGCTCCTCACTCCCTCTGCACAGGGGTTCCACCAGCCCAGGTTGCTCCAAGCCCCAACCAACCTGGCCTTGGACACTTCCAGACTGCTTTAATCTTGGTCTAAACACAGCTGGAATCAAGTCTTCATTTCCAGGGGCAGCAAAACAAACCAGCAAGGTCTGACCCACACACCAGGGCCAGCAGGTGTGACCAGAGCACCCAGAGCACCCAGAGCCAGCGCTGTGCAGGGCACAGGGAGCTGATGCACCAATCCCCCCGTGTTTATTCCCCCAGTGCTGCACTCCAGCCCTTAGGTCAGAGCCCTCAGCCAGGGATGCTCCTGCAGAGCTTGGCCTACACCCCCCCCTTCTGGCTGCACCTCAGCACGATGGAATTCTTGCAGATTGGATTAAAACTTCATCCCTTGGTTTTATAACACAATTTTATGCTAAGCAGAAGAAGTGGAATTGTTGTTTTTTTTTTTTTTTTTAAACAATTATTACAATTCTTCTCTATTAAAACAATGCAGGTCCTTTACTGGAGGCAGAGCTCAGTGACACTCACTTCACTTTCATCTCCTCCTCCAGAATTTAATTATTCAGAACTTTACAATTCTCCAGAGGCCAACAAAGCACATTAAGCAGCTCTGCCTCAGATCAATGAGGAGATTAAATGAAGTACCAGCTTGACAGAAGTAAATCGAGGCACAAGCAGCCCTTTTGTCTTGTCTGCAGACAACGAAAGAGAATCCCAGGGGGGAGGATCCCTGTTCCCAACCCATCAGCCCTCCCCTGGGACCACTCCTCACACCCCCATGAGCCAGGAGGGAGCTCACAGGTCATTAAATGGCTTTGAATATTAACAAGTGCAGCATCCCTCAGTGAATGGGGTCACTGAACACCCCCTGTGTCCTGTCAGTGAAAGCTGAGCCAGTGCAACCACGTGGGCACAGCTGGGAACTCACTGCCCTGCCCGGGTTCATCTGGTGCCATTAACACCTGTATCCTCGTTAGGGTGCTTAATTACAGCCATCCACAGCTCAGCCCACAGACCAGGAGGGGCTGTGTGCTCAGACACAAAACCTGCAGCAGGTGAGAGGTGTGGTTACACCACAGCCTCCCACCTGCCCCTTTCTGGAGCTGAGTTCTCCTCTCCTAAGTGGCTGCTCCCCTCAGATGGTTTATTGGGAAGCAGATTCTCCCAGCATCCAGCACTCCCAGTGCAGCAGAGCCCAGTGAGAGCTCCCCTGGGCTGGCCAGGCCCCCTGAGCCCCTCCCAGCCTTCCCCTGCCCCTCCTGAGCTGTGCACGAGCAGCAGCACAAGGGGTTCCCTTCAGCTCAGGGGACTCCAGGGAGAGGGAACAAAACGGGAACAAAAACGAGACAAAACAAAAACAAAGAGTGTCTGTTCAAGTGCAGGGCTTGAGTCACACCCAGAAGGGAACGGCTGGAGCCACATCAGTGCCCACTCCATGGTCCAGGTCCCACCAATTCCAGCTGGAGGCTCTGTGGGAACACCCCAGATCCAACCCTACACAGGTTTCTGTCTCAAGGAATGAGCAGAGGACACCCCCATTATGCCCCAAAGTCTAATATTGGGACCCTGTGATGTTCTGCAGCTCCCAGGGGCTCCTGAGGAGCAGGACTGGCACAAGGTAAGAAAAACTGAACTGTTGTGCACATCTGCCCTGGAAAGGGAGAACTCTCCGACAGGAGATTTGCAGAAGTTCATGCTCACTTTGAGATTTTGGCTACACATTCCAAAAAAAGCAGTTCTCAATCTCCTACTGCCTGCTCTGTTAATTAAACTTAATGAAAGAGCTGTTGGCTTGTTACTGTCCCTGAGAACACCATTCTCTAATGTTTCAGGAGTTAAAGTATTTCAACCAGCTGCTGCCTTTTGCTGGACCTACTCCCCCACTTCACTGTTCTCATCTAGACCTGGCAGTGAGGAAAAGAAACCACTTGGAGGCAACCAAGTCTGCATGGCCTGAAGAGCAGCACATTTCAAGCATTATTTCTCTCTCTGGGTACAGTGGCACTCACCAATCAGATTGAGAGAGGAGTTCTCAGCTTTCTCAAAGGCAACTTGGCTGTTCCCAAGAACCAAACCAACCTCGATCTGGAAAAAGGAGGGAAACAAATAATTGCATTAATTGCTATTAGACTCAGCTTCAGATTGCTCTTCAGGTACCCCCCCAAAAAACAGGAAACAGCAGCAAAAGCCCCACTACAAAAGTCTGGGAAGAATGTGAAATACCAGCACCTCCTCTAAAACAAACATCACCAAATGCAGAGGCTCATCAGAGGTAACAAACTGGCTTTTAAAAATTACTGGTTTAGTTCAAACCCAGCTATGTTATTTCAGCAAGATCCAGCAAGCAAAGAACAAAATAAAATTATGTCCTTTCTATAGAAGGGAAAAAAAATCAAAACTGGACATAACTGGAAGACAAAAAAGCTCAAGAGAAATGTGTTTCTATGAATCAGCTCCTAAAGACCAGGAGCAATGTGTGCAGTGCCTAAGGATGGGCACGAATTCCTGGGAGCCCACCTTCTGCTTTTTGCCTGTCCCAGACTCCCCTTTGAGAATGCTGGGGTCCATGGCTTCCATGTCCTTCACCAGCAGCCCAAAGAGCTTGTCATTGAAGCTGAACACGAGCTGTAGAAAGGAGAAAATCCATTAAAAAGAGCTAGAAAGGATTTGACAACACTACAGAGATGTGCCTGGAGACTGAGTTTGCCGCCCAACAACTCCCACAGGAGTTTTTACCCTGCAGAGCTCTAGGGTGCTGACCACGTGCTCTCTCTGCCCCAGCTTAAGAGTGACACATCAAAACTATCAAAACATGAAGTCAACTGAGAAAAAACTCAAAGAGAAATTCTCTTTCCAAGAAAAGCTTCTCTTCCCCCCCTCCCTTCCTCCCCAGCTCAATGTTCTACATCATCACTTGACATTTTCCTCTCACTTTAATTGCTGGTGCCAGGCAAGGAGAACAATTGAGCTCAAAACTTTTCGATCTCTCACATTCCAGTCTGACAAAGATACCTCAGGGACAGGGCTAATGAGACAGGAGGAGTGGAGCAAGGAGTAGGGTCCATCCCTCAGGAAACCAGGGCTGTCTCTGCACAATTCCTCTCCTCTGAGACTGCATCTGCAAATGGCTTAAGATTCAGACCCTGCAAGTTGTGAACTGCTATGAGAGGCCAACCTGAACCTGTCCTGAGAACGAGGCAAAGCAGGGGCTGTCACAAAGCCTGCAGGGGCACACAACATCTGCTGCAGAGCTGAGCAGGGTGAGCTGCAGGGACAACAGCTGTCCACGATCCCCAGGGAAATATTTCATCCCTGGAGTCCAAAGAGTAGCAATAAATCACAGAATCCCACAATGGTTTGGGCTGGGAGGGACCTTAAAGCCCACCCAGTGCCACCCCCTGCCATGGGCAGGGACACCTTCCACCAGCCCAGGGTGCTCCAAGCCCCGTCCAACCTGGCCTTGGACACTTCCAGGGATCCAGGGGCAGCCACAGCTTCTCTGGGCAACCTGTGCCAGGGCCTGCCCACCCTCCCAGGGGATTTCCTCCTGATATCTAAGAGGTGCCACTGAGAATGAATTAAACCCGGTGTTCATCTTGATCTTGAGACAAAAGTGGTTTCTCAGAAGATTCCAGGAGCTGCCAGGCTCATAACCCAACCAGGCCACAACACAGGGAGATCCCAGCTCTCCCAGGCCTTGGGATTTTCCTCACAGATTTCTTCAGTTCAGGGTAAGATGGATTTTAACCTCCTCTGCCCATCCTCTCAGTGAAAGTCAGGATGGTTTGACTTTTCACAAAGAAACCATTCCCACAACAAACAATTCCCTCGGACCTCTCCAGGTGTTCCCTTCCTGTTCAGGTCATGGCACTGAAGCCCGTTTTGGCCTTAAAATCCCCCAGCAAAGCCCACCTGCTGGCCCACGGAGAAGGCCTGGCTGTTGAACTGCTGGATGAACTCTGCAGCCATCTTGTCCGTGTCGTAGGGGTTGGAGTCAATGTTCTTCTTCTGCAGGAAGTCGATCTCGATGGTCATGGTGCCGATGCACTGCTTGGCCTTGTCAAAGGTGTACAAGGAGACTGGGAAAACAGGAGCAGCACATTTCAGAGCAGCAGGGGCCCCCCAGCATGCTGAACATCTGGCAATACAGCATTGCAAAGTGTTTGGCAAGTGCTCTCCCCTCCAGAATTAATACACCTAGTGTAGTATTTCTGATCCAGTTCTACTCCAAGGCCATGAACAGTCATATTTCCACTGAAAATCCCTTAAAAAACAACTCTAATAAACCTTGCAAACAGCTCAAACACCACACAAGCTTTGGGGGAGGAGGAGGATGAAAGCACAGACATGCTGTGGTACCACACAGCTGTAACTGCACCCAAGAGTTTGGAGGACACACCTTCAGAAGGCCCAAAACCAGCACTGAGGGCAGTCTGGTCCACAAGGCAACAACAAGCGGCCATCCCTGGTTTTCTGTGGAAACATGTTGCTCTTCTCCCAGTGAGGCATCCCAGGTTACCTCCAGGAACACAAAACCAGCTGAACAGTCCTTGAAAGGGGCAGAAAGTCAAGGGGAATGGGAGGCACTGCCCAGTCACTGCCAACTGCTCCTGAACCCACAGGAACAGCACATCAGGGGCTGCTGCTGCCAGAGGAGAGAGGATGGGAAGCAAAGAGCAGCGTGGTTCCAACACCAGGGACACTTCTCAGCACAGCTGACCAGAGGGTAGGATCCCACCAACAGGCAGCCCCAGCAACCCCCAAACCAGGCTGCAGCAGAGGACAAGCCAATGATCCTCCAGAAGTCTGAGGATGGTTCAAGGTTTGCTTTGAATGTGGAGAACAAAGTCTCCTGTGCTCCAGGAGCCACTGGTAAGGATAAAGCAGCAGGGGGGGAATGAGGGAAAGGTGCTTCAGTCAGTCTGTGATTTCCTGGCCAGCCTTTGGCAGCAGGAAGGTTCCAGAATGAACCTGCAGACCCTGGGAAGGTGGGACCTCAGAGCAAGGCTCCAGCACACTCAGATACAGGACCTGTTCACGTGGAGAGAACAAAGAGAGCCTGTCCCTGGCTGGAGTTGTTACCAGAGGACACACACAGGTCATCACAGCACACACCCCAGATGGCCTTCCTGGGATGAGAACAGGCCACCCAGGAATGAGCTGTCAAAGATGGATCCTCCAGGAAACAGGGATAAAGATAAAACACAAGCACCTCCTGAACTGAGGTCTATCTCCTGGATGGAGTCCTTTCCAAAAGGGATATGGCAGCAGGGTTGTCCCTGCCTGGAACTCCAGAGCCTGGAATGTCCCAGAGAGAGGCAGGATGGAGGGGCAGCAGGGGCCTCCTGGTCTGGGAAGGCAGCCCTGGCTCCAGGTGTGTGTGGGGACAGGGGAGCTGCTGGAGCTGAACTGCCTGGAAGGCAGGACAACCAACCCAGCCACCCGTCACGGGGGGCTCAGCAGGCTCAGCATCACTGCCCCACTGACATTTGGATCCCAGTTCTCACATCATTTGGGGACCACAACAAACCAGGAGCCCTGGGAAATCACTGGGTCTGTGAACACTCCTCCCTACCTGCAGAACAACATCACAACCCCTCCCACCCCACAGGAGTCAGATGACATTTAGTCACTCTGCACAGAATTACTGCATCATTTCTCTTAACACAGGCTCCCCCTGAGCTGGGAGGTTTACAGCCAGGTACAGTCACAAACCTGCTGGTGACACAGTATATTAGTGCTGCTCTCCTCTAATAATCTTAGTATTGCTCTAGAAGCCAGCTGGCACATGATCAGCAACCACACAGGGGTGAGAAACAAAATAATTACGGGTCTCCCCTCCATTAGAGGTTATTCTTCAGTTAAAAAAAATACAAATCAAAACAAAACCAGGTAGCAAAAAAATCACAACAGAATCCTAAGGTTGGAAAAGACCTCTAAAACCATCAGGTCCAACCACCCCCATGGTCAGCACTAACCCATGTCCTCAAGTGCAAACATCAGTGCTGCTCACAAAGCTCAGCACTCCGGGGCTGTCTCTGGGCACTGACACCTCCCTGAAAGGCAGATGCCAAGAAACTCCCCAAGGACAAGAGCTGTCCTGTGTTAGCTGGGAGTGCTCTCTGGAGACCCAGGAATGGAACAGATTACCCAGGACATGCCCAACATTCACATCTGCACGTGGATGCTGATGGCCCACCCGGAGCTGTGCTGATACCCCAGCAGGAGTCTGGAGGAACTGCCAAAATACTCCTCCAGGTTTGGGGTTGGTAAATGCAGAAAGCCTGCAGGCAGGAGAGCCCTTCCCTCCTCACCACCTGAGGGTCTGAGATTGCCCAGTTTGGTTTCACTCCAGTGTGAGAACACGAATTCAAGCTTTTACAAACACGTCACAATCACACTGACAACTGACTTACCATCAATCTCCTGTCCAATGGAAAGTCCAGCCCATTTTCTCTGTGAAAACAAGACCAAAGCGTCAGGAAGCCAATCCTTCCCCCCAGAGGCTGCCTCAGGATGCCCTGAGAGCCCTCAGCAGCAGAATGGGGCATCCCAAAGACAACCCAGTAACACCAAACAAGTCAAACAGCGGGTAATCTCTTTAAATAACTCCATCTCTGCCTTCAGCAGGTTGTTCTGTCCAACCTCCTCAAGGAGAAGTGGGAAATGTTTCAGTAATTATGTGACACCACAGCTCTTTACAATCCCAACACTTCTGGCTTCACAGTTGTAAAAAATGGTACTTTTGCAGCGTGGAGACAGGCTGAGGGAATGGGGGCTGTTCAACCTGGAGGGGAGAAGGTTCTGGAAAGATCTCATTGAGGCCTTCCAATACTTAAAGGGAGCTTAAAAGAAAGATGGGGACAGACTTTTTTAGCAGGGCCTGTAGCAGCAGAGAAAGGGGAAATGGTTTTAAATTAAAAGGGGGTGGATTCAGACATTTTATATGGTTTTATCCCTTTATGAAGGGATAAAACTGTGGCACAGAAAGGTTTTCTGTTTAGAAGTTAATTGTATTAATTATTTATTCTAACCATCATGTAACATCTGATAATGACTTAACTAAGAAAGAGGAGATCAGTTGTGGGGTTTTTTTATTATTTTATACATTTCCTTGCACTTTTCATCTAAAAATACCAACAATGACTGGATGTAGTCACTAAAATTTCTCTGGCAGGTCTTAAAAAGAGAAGAACACTTTAAAGAAACCCTTTAAATTCAAGGGGAAACAGGGAACAATAAAAATTCACAAGGAAAGGCAGACATTGCTTTGGGTTTTCTTTTTTCAAATAGCTTGTTCCTGGTGGGTTTTTAAAAGGTTAAACTGCACCTTTTCCAGTATCTGCATCTCACCACGTGCTAAAAAGAGACCAAAGAAACACAACCACGGTGGGCTTCAGTTGTGGCAAAAGTCTGCTTGAATTTCTGTTCTCAGAGATCAAGTGTGCAGGGAATCAACAATCAAATGGCTCCAATCAAACCCATCTTCAACCCTGCCCACAGCACAGCAGGGAGGCAGAGCCGTACCTGGGGCAGGCTGAAGGCGATGCTGCCGGGCACCACCGAGTGGTGGGTTCTCAGCGTGAAGATGTACTTGTGGTTGGGAGAGGTCTTCACGACAACATGCCTGCAAGAGAGCACAGGGTTTTCCTTTGGTGCACACACCAGCAGGATTCTGCACTGCTCAGAGCTGGGAGGAGGCAAAAGGAACAGCCAGCTCCTCTCTGGCGCTGGGAAGGGACACCAAAAGCATCGGAGCCACGGCACGACACGGACAGTGGGACAGGAGCCCAGCACCTTCACTGGGATCTCAAAGCCCAACTGCAAGACATGGTACCAATCACTGCTTAATCATCCCCCACAGCAACCCTTTCCTTCAGCAACTGCTCTGTACCAGTGTGAGGGAACCAAAATACAACCACAAACACCAGGGCTGCTGCAGCTAAAAATCAGCACTGGCTTCACACCTCAGGCATTAACACCAAAGCATCAGCA